GGGACGGCCGCCCCGCTGCCCCCCGCCCTCCTGTCCCGGGCGGGCGGTGTCGCAGCCCCGTCAAGTCCGGCCTGAGTTTCCGACGCGCTCCGGCCGCCCGCCCCCTTCGTTCAGTGCCCTGCGTCCTCATTCCCAGGGAAAACTGCCTTAGGAAGCCCTTCCCAAACCACACCTGGGAAGGCTATAAGCAACAGGGTGGTAACAGTGACGAGCGGCTTTGTGGACCTGATTATAGTTCAGTAATAAAGTCAGGTAATTTTTACTTTCTGCAAGCATGCGTGCCAGAACAACATGTCTTCTAGCTACTTTGCTGCACTCGTTGATTTTGACAGATGGAAAAATTATGAAAAGATGATGAATCTTGATGGTATTGAACAAGATTGTTGTTACAGAGCCAGCTGTTAGTACATCTTGGTTCCTTATGCCTGTCCTGTGCCTTAACATTTACTTATTTTCCCCCACCACCAACCATAAATCTAATACTAGATTTTATTCCCCTGGCTCTGCATTATCAGCACTGGCATGGTGTTGTTTAGCTTTATCTATTTAAAAACAAACAAGCTTAAAATGTTCAGCTTCTGCTGGGGAATATTTACAATAGCAAAAGAAAAAAAAAACGAGTAAGAGACTTTAGGTGACAAGATTCGTTCTGTAGCATTTCTGCAAGAGTTGTACTATGGCTGTTATATGCATGATCCCAGCCTGTGTTTTTTCAATGGCAAATATCTGAGATCTTACTTGAAAATACAGCCCTTTTAATCATTTTTTCCTAAATTTCATTATTTCTTACTGCGTGGTTAGTCCTGCTGAGCTCTGACAGCACACAGAGTAAGTGTGTTGTTCAAGCCTTTAACAGACTAGTACAGGCTAGTGAAACAGTAGATGCTGGGAAATCCTAACTGTGTTGTTCTTTCCTGTTGTTCAAGGTGTAAGAGTCCTTGTTGATGCCAGAGAGAAACTTCATATCCCTTGGGGAGATCCCGCCAACCAGAGCAACGGAGATACCATGATGGCTTTCGATACACGGGCAGTGACGGTGGGGCACGGGACGGTGGAGACCACGGTTTTCCTGCAGTACCTTCCAGCCATCAGAGCACTGTGGGCAGACAGCGGCATCCAGCACGCGTACGACAGGCGCAGGGAGTTCCAGCTGGTAGGTTTTGTATTTTAATGGTTTTAGCTGAGTGTGTGTGTGATGTCTTGGGCTTTTCAATGAAGCACTGATTGAGCAGCCTCCCAGCCTCCTTAGGGATGCCAGGTGTGTTCGAATGGCAGAGTGTTAAACTATGATATTGTGAACAGATTAGTTTTACTCTTTTTTTTTTCCCCTTCCTTTTCTTTTTTTAAAGCTGTGAGTAACAGAGAGCTTCTGACACAGTTGTCCTCATTTCATGTATGATAGAACTGAGACCAAGTTTTTAGTTCTTGTAACAAAGCAAGGAACCAGTGGCCAGAATCCATGCAGTGTTTTTAGCATGTGAATGTTCTTACCCTCGTTTAAATAATGTATTGGCTTAAAAAAATCCCACATGATTTGCAATAGCGAATGCCTTAATACTATGGTGATTTTAAGGAAAGATATGCATGGGTTAATTAGAAGAATTTAAAAACCACTCCCTTCTCAATTCCAATTTGAGCTATCTTGCAAGCATTCCCTGTGTATACTTCCTGTTTAAATTTAAATGTGTATGTTAATTCTCATGTAATGAGATTTTTGTTATTTTGAAGTTCTCAGCTAAAGATGTAATAAATACATTGTTCAGTAGTGAATTTAGAAAGAATAAAGGAAACATGTCTTGATTCCTGAGCTGGATCTTAAACAGTCCCTTGAATTTCTACGTTAATGTCGCAGAAGGAGAGGAAGACTTATACTTGTTGTCTATTCGTTCGTAGATTTACACAGTAAAATGTCAATGTTGAGTTTTTTAGGGGTGGGGCAGTTTGAGAACCTTAAAATAGATTAAATCTGGTGTTCTCTTCTCACAGAACTATTAAACCTAAGTGGCTTTATGTTTTAATGTCTTAAAAAATAACCTTTGTGTTGGTGCGAATATGAACAATAGATGATGGTGTCTCCTGTTGAGCTATTATGAACAATTGTGTAATCATATGCCGACTTAAATACGTTGTGTAAATACTTGTTGTAAATACGTATTGACTTTATTCTGGAACATCTTCGAGAGAAGGGGCAAGTGCTCGAGCAGCCCATCTACTGCCCAGCCTCCTTCTGTGCCATGTGAATACGTTTCTAATGAGACCTGTGGCTCTCTGCATTGGTGTGTGGTACCAGTGCAGCTGGATAGTAAAGGGATTGTATTAAAACAGAGTTTTGCCTTCAAAATGATCATAAAGGAGTAACTGTTCTGCTAAATTCAAGATCCTCCTTTGGCACAAATGTGACTCCTAGTGATGCAATTGCTGGGATGGTATAATCTGTTTTAAAATCTGTTAAACAAATCTTTGTCTTTTATTAAGCATGTTTGATGACTTCGGGCTGAATAGGTCCCTTTTCCATTGCTGCCTCTGTCGTCTCTGACCAGTAGGTTCTTTCCATAGCTGGAGCATGTGTGCGGTTTCACTTTGAGTAGGACTTGAAGTCTGTGCGGTCTTCTTTCTTTTAGCAGTCGTTAAGTCTGTATCTTCTTGTCTGTGAAGATACATCTGTAACACATTATGCTTTAGGCTGACCTTGAAAATATTTTTAAAAGAGCTCCTAATAGTTAAGTATTGTCCTAACATTCATTTTTACAAATAACTCATTTTGCCGCCCCAGTCTAGGCTTCCGGTTTAACTTGTGACGGAGTTGATTGTGGGCGAAGGAATACCAGAGCCCTCCTGAAGGAATACATGTTTTTGGTGTATCTGCTTCTGTCAGCAGATACAGCTTTGCGGAAATGTCCTCTGAGAACCTAAGCTGTGTAAAAGCTGTTGCATACTGTGGAAGGAAGACACAAATGGTTCAAGGGAGATGCAGGCATATCCAAGTCAGTAGGAGGGAGAACAGGGAGAAGCTGAAAGAAGTCAGCATTTTAGTACTATTGGGTGATGATTCTTGAAGCAATGATTGAAGACTGAAAATTGTTAGTGCTGTAAAATGGAGAGGACTTCTCCACTTGTAGTTCAAATGCATGTTGCAAAATAATATAATGAAAGTATCAGTGATAGAGTAATAAGGTGAGTAGGAGAGAAAGATGAGTGGAGGAAAAAAGCACGGAATATTGGAACTGACTGTGGTAGGAGAATATGGCTTTACTGTCTGTAAATAGCTTCTTTTCAGACTGTCTAGAGATTTTTTTGTTGTTGTTTGTTTTCTTCGACTGAGTTTGATATTGCACTGAAAAATGGCTCATATTAAGAGGGCTGGGAAAGTACTTACCCTGGGGATAGGACACTTTGGGGAAAAAGGTACAAGTGATTAAATGAGGAACCTGGCAGTGGTGGATAGGATTCATAAGGTGATACTGAAGGAAAGGAGCTAAGATGGAATCCAGAGATGCAAGTGCATTTGTAAGAGATCACTGTGCTCTTCTTGCCTTTTTTCCTTCTCCTGTTTTCCTCTATCATCTTCCACTCAGTGACAGAAGGCATACTAGGAAACTAAAGAAACAGTGCAGTCTTTTTATAGCAATGTTATGGGGAAACCCAAAACTCAGTTGTGTTTTAATGGAATTAGAAATCATTTCCATGCCTTGTTCACTAGAATGTTCTTCCTCTTTTTGGTAATTTAACTAGTCATGGACATTGTCAGTGTCTTCTGTCTCCCTTAGTGTGTGTAGGTTTCTTGTTATTGTTGTTTGATTTTTTTCTTTTTTTTTAAAAAGAGGATGTGGGGGCTTCTGGCCAGTAATCTAATAATTTTTAGGAATGGTCATTAGCTTACACCTCTATAAAGTTTTGAAGCTAGAAAAAGCTAATTACAATTTAATGCAGTATATGGCACTTCAATACTTCTTTGATTGTTAATGTTATAATCGCTCAAACTTTATTAGAAACCAAAGTTGTTGAAGTGACAATTTCACTAACACTGTTAACTCTGCATTTACAGGATTTTTTTTTTTCCTTCATTGCTTAGTCAATTCCTGTCACTTGCTCTTAAGAATCTAGTTATCCTCAAGCTTTATCTATCCTTTGTTCACTGAACTTTTCTATGGCCCCTGGTCAGGTTGCCAGCAAGTGTTAGCTATGGAATTTGTCTGTCTCATCCTTAAACTTTCCATCATCAAATTAACAATTCAGATTTCCTACAGCAAATGGTTTTCCTCTAATAATCGTCAATAATGATTTAGATAAAGCCATTATCTTAACTCTATACCGTACACATCAAGGATTTATTTCAACAGAACAGCAAGCCAGTATTCCAGTGAATTGGAAAGTTGGGATTTGTTTTGAGGTGCTGGGGGGGTGAAGAAGTTTCTAGTGCGGCTGCTGTGTATCTAGTCCTGCAGAGGAAGGTGCTTCTGGGTAGGAATACATGGGGTGCTGCCTCTTGCGTCAGTGTGCTAGCTCTGAAATTGCTTTTCTGAATTTGCTGCTAGAACGACTGAGAGAGAAGCACTTTAGAAATAAGGTCTTAAGCGTCTTAGTCATTTTTGACGATGAGGTGGGATGGAGCTGAATTGCTCAGTTGCAGCATACACTTTGAATATATTAAAGGATTGATTTTGGTAAGGATAACTTTAGGGTGGTTTTAGATGTCTGCTACCAGCACTTGCTGCTCTTCAAATAGGCATTTTTACCCCTCTTGTGAATTGCATTATCTACTTTTTTGATGCCATGAGCCTTCAGTGTATAGAGACAGTGATGACATGGTCATCAGTCATTGCGTTCTGGCAGCTTTTGCCTAGAACTGCTGGTAAAGTAGGCATGAAATACAGCAGGGACGACTGGATACGCAGTTACCTCGGGATCCTGTTTACTTTTGTGGCATGTCTGCCAGTGCTAGATCAGATTATAGAAGACAGGAAAAGGCGTGTTCAGCTTTGAGTTCTCCTGTTAGTTCTGCTGCAGTTTCTCTGTAGCATTTTCTGTTGCAGAGTAGCATTTTTGGAGAACTTTGTTCAGCTTATTGTAAGATTTTTATATTATCTTGTTTTTCTTTTGGAGCTTTCGTGGGTTTTGTCTCTAAATCTTGATGAGGAAATTGTACATAGGAGAACATTAAAGGGCATGAGATCCAATTGCCCGATATGTTTCTCTAAATGCATCCATTTGTAATGTGGGCACATATTTATTTAATTCAGAATTACTGTCTTTAACTACAGTGCTGGGATTACACTGACTATTGCTTCAATTTCTATGTAGAATAACTGCTATTGCTTTGTACGTAAATATGAATTATTTTCCCCTCTTTCCCCAACCAATAGGTCTACTGAACTTCAAGTGACAGGATGGCATGTTACAGCGAGCATGACTCGTTAAAACCGTTGGAAAGGTTAGAGCTACCCCTTGCCATCTGTTGGTTTTGCTTTAAGTGAAAGTGATGTATCAATGATTGTTGCTGTAACTGGTAGGAAGAGTGTTTTACAAAATGAGTCTTCCAGGTCTTCAGAAAATATTCAGAATTCTTGCAAATTGGCTGGTTTTCCTGTCCCACGGGCAAGATTATCTTGACTTTAAATTCATATTAGCATTCAAATGCCTCCATGTAGGCATTAACACTAGGGTTAAACAAGGAGGTTTGAGTTTACTTTTTCTTGGTTTGTGGCCAGAAGACACTTATTGCATATACTGGGGGTTTTGGTCATAGTGATTTACCGCTACTCTACTTGATCTAGATTATCTTGAAACACTAAGTTTTAATATTAATTTATCACAGAGTGACAGTTTACTAATTTAACACCAAATATTGATTTTTCTAATTTTCCAAATTGGAATTTGGTTTTCCATGTCAATGTCCGTGAGTTACTGCACATTGTAGGAGTCTGCTCTCTGGCGTTGTCTTCTTCCCCTTTCTGACGTTATTCTCTTACGGCTGAAGAGCACTGTCTTTTCTGCCTTCCCTTTTTTTTTTTTTTTTTTTTTTTTTTTTTTTTTTTTTTTTTTAAAACACCCCTTTTTTTTTTTTTTTTTTTTTTTTTCCTTTCCCTTTTTTTTTTTTTTTTTTTTTTTTTTTTTTTTTTTTTTAAACAACCGACTTATCTTTTTATATTGTTG